CCTAAGTCTATTACCTATGCTCTCAATCATCTTGTTTGGAGATTAGTTATGCAAGAAGAGATTTTTGCTTCGGAGAAAATGGTACTTGGGATCTTGTCCTTATTCTTTCCGGCAAGCCTGTTGTTGGTTGTAAATGGGTGTACACTATAAAGTGCAGCCTAATGGTTCTATTGATAGATTGAAGGCTCGTCTAGTAGTTAAAAGATATACTCAGGTGTATGGAATAGACTATTTAGAGACATTTTCTCCTATTGCAAAGATTACCTCTGTTTGTTTTCTTATCTCTTTGGCAGCAACTTATAATTGGCCATTGCATTAGTTGGATGTCAAAAATACACTTTTACATGGAGATTTGGAAGAAGAGGTAAACATGAAACAACCTCCAGGATTTGTTGTTTAGGAGGAGAATTAGTTATTGGTTTGTCGTCTGAAAAAATCCTTATATAAATTGAAATAGTCTCCTAGGGCTTGGTTTGATTAGTTTAGTAGTGTTGTCATGGAACTTGGTGTGACAAGATGTGGAGTAGACCACTCTGTGTTTTATTGGCATTCTAATGTTGGTAAGATTTTATTAGCTATTTATATGGATGATATTGTGATTACAGGTGATGATGTTGTGGGGATCTAGAAGTTTAAGTCGCAATCTCCAAGCAAACTTTCAGACAAAGGATTTAGGTCACTTACAATATTTTTTGGGTATTGAGATAGCTCAGTCTAAATATGAATTTTATTTATGTCAAAGAAAATATATACTCGATATGTTGAATGAAATTGGAATGTTAGATTGCCAACTTGTAGATACTCCTATGGATCATAATGTGAAATTAGTAGGAGATCAAGGTGCATTACTAGATGATCTTGGACAATATCAAAGACTTGTGGGTAAATTAAATTATCTCACACTGCAACGAGACCTGACATTGCGTTTGTAGTGAGTGTTGTGAGCCAATTTCTTCAGACCCTTCGTATTAGTCATTGGGATGCTGTTATACAAATTATCAGGTATCTTAAGAATGCTCTTGGAAAAGGGTTACTATATCAAAATCATGGACACATTGAAATTGAAGGATATAGTGATGTATATTGGGTTGGTTCTACCTTAGATCGAAGATTAACTACAGGATATTGTGTGTTTGTTGGTGGTAATTTAGTGTCGTGGGAGAGTAAGAAGCAAACAGCTGTTTCTAGGACAACTGCAGAATCTGAATATTGTGCTATGGCTCACACTGTGTGTGAGTTGATTTGGTTGAAAAGCATGTTACTTGAAATTGGGTTTGAGCATAAATAGCCTATGAATTTAGTGTGTGATAATCAAGCGGCTGTTCAAATTGCATCTAATCCAGTGTTTCATGAAAGGACAAAATATATTGACGTTGATTGTCATTTCATTAGAGAGAAATTGCTTGATGGAGTCATCAAGACATCTTATTTAGCATCCATAGATCAATTGGTTGATTTGTTTACTAAGAATTTAGAAGGGTTTAGGGTGAAATACATTTGTAACAAGTTGGGCACTCATGATATTTATGCTCCAACTTGAAGGGGAGTATTAAAAGAATATAAGTACTCTTGTATATAATAAATTAGTAAGAGTATTCTTGTAAATAATTTGTTGGGTTTGTACTACTATAAATACTAATTGGTCACTCATAATACGTGAGTTAGATATTTTTCTCCCAAAATACATGTTATCAGAGGCCATTAAGAATTCAGACCAATTGCACTTTGCAGCTCAATCTATAAAATTCTAACCAAAATCTTGATGAATAGATCGAGATATCATATCTTATATCCCCCTACCAATCTAGCTTCATCCTTGGGAAGACTAGCACAGATCATCTTGGTTCAAGAAGCCATGCTTATTATTAGGAAGAAATTTGGTGCTAGTGGTTCATGTGCTATCAAGATTGATGTTGAGAAAGCCTATGGCAAATTGGATTGGCACTTTATTAGACAAGGAGACCCTATCACCCCTTATCTTTTCTTACTTTGAATGGAGTTCCTCTCACAAAAAATAATGGAATCTGTACAAAAGAGGAATTGGAAACCCCTTGCTTTTGGTCACAACTGCCCATCCCTTTCCCATTGCCTCTTTGTAGACGATGTTCTACTCTTCCGCAGAACTGATGAGAAATCCATTGCAGTAATAAGGGAGTCCTCAGTTGTATTTAGCCAAAGGTCTGGATTGAACATTACTCGGGATAAATCTAAAATCCTGTTCTACCCTAATATAACCCCTGAAAAATGAGAGTCCATTTCTTTCTTTTTAAACATTAAGGAATCTAATAACTTTGGCTCCCACTTGGGATTTCCTCTCTCCAAAAACAGATCCCTAAAAGGAAATTTCAATTTATTCAGGATAAAGTTCATAATAAATTAAAGGGATGGAAGGCAAATATGCTCTCCTTTGCAAGGTGCAAAGTTATAGATCGACAAACTATAGCTTCTATACCTGTGTATTATTTGCAGTATGCAGTTGACCCTGAAGGCATTCGTAATATTATTAATAGGAACAGAAGAACTTCTTATGGGGATCCATAAGGGAGAAAAGGAAACTTCACCTAGGTAATTGGGATTTGGTGACTACTCCTAAGAAGAGAAGGATTGGGTCTCAAACAAATAGCATTGATTAACACTTTTTCCTTAGCAAAAGTTTGCTGGTAGCTTACAACTAATCAACATACACCTTGGGTGCAAGTTCTTTCAAGAAAATATGTGGGCAGGGATTTAACTCTTAGCCATGACTGGTTAACCTTAAGCAAGGATAGAGGATCTATTGATCTCTTAGGGATGAAAAATGGCATTGATCTCTTTAATCAGGGTATCACCAAGCTAGTTAGGGATGGGGCATCTACCAAGGTCTGGGAATGGTTGTCCAACTCCTCTCTTAGATCCTTAATCCAAGGACCTCTACTCCTTGATGAAGAAAGCCTTCTTGTCAAAGATCTCTTTGAGGTATAAGGGACTTGGATCATTGATAGAATTTCCTTCTTTTTTCTAGATTCTATTAGTCAAGCTATTCAAGCTATCCCTAGATAAACCTATCAGCCAAAGATCTACTTAAATGGGCTCCTTCTAGTAATTGTATGTTAAGTACCAAATCTGCTTGCAGGTCACATATATTAGGAAATTATGCTATAGTGAGCTGAGGTAGTGACAAACAATTAACCCGAGAGATTCCTTAGTAAGAGTAGTTTCACTTCATTTTCTTATATGTTTGTAAGTTTAGATTTACTTTATTGAATTAGTGAGCTTCTAAATAACGAAAGAGCTCGAATAGCGTTAGTAATCAACCCCTAATACTCTATATTCAAACATGACTTGTATACTTACAAAAAATCGTGTGTAAGGTATTTAGAAATTTAAATGTAAAATTTGACTATGGATTGAGGTCACTTTTGTATTCATATCCCGCACTCATGAAAAGTGATGTAAAGTTAACATTTAAAAAATGAAGGACGAAAATATTTATTTAGCGAAATGTGAGGAACATTTTAAAGGATTTTCCTTTGTTATTAATTATCTTATTATTCAATTTATACTTTTCACTATTAACTCTTTATCTAATTGAAGTGAAAATCTAATTGCGTTTTTCATAAGGTTTCTATCTTTCTTTCTAACAATTTTTTCTTTTTTTTAACAAATTGTGAATTTTTCTTTTTATCCATACCTTGCTTAGTGTGGTTTTTATTATTACATAGGTAAGTTCATTGACTTTGCTTGAAATTAGATAATCATTCATGAGAAAATGGATTGCTGCATCTTTTATATTTAATAAAAAATAAAAGGGTAAATTATATATAATCGCTTATGATTTTACATAATGCCAGATGATTCCCCTAAGATTTTAAAATAGCCACATAACCTGCTATAGTTTTATACTAAAAATACGTGTGAGGAAATCATAATATTTAACAAGAAAAATGGTTTCTAGTGACAAGCCATTTTCATCACAAAAAAATAAAAAGTTGTCACTGATAAGTTTTATTGACAACTTTTTAATCGTCACAAAGTCGTCACTGAAGGTCCGTCGGTAAAAGTATACAGTGACAACCTTAAAAGTCGTCAATGAATGGTACTGTTTTGCGACAACTGGTGTTGTCAGTAATTGTTGTAATTTTAGTGATGACATAGTAGTTTGTCAATGATGTACAAAGCAATGTAGTCACTAAAACTAATCCATAGTGTCAACTGGTATAAACTAATTACTGACAACTTTTGTTGTCACTAAACAATTTTCAATTCCATAACAATAGGTGGTTGTCAATGGAGAAATCTGATTCAGTGACAACACTTTACCACCATCAAATTTGATGATTTTCCTGCTAAATTATATCTTAAAAATGAAAAAAAAATGACAATGCTTGACAATTAACAAATGAAGGCATCCATTACATTACGAAATGCCAAAATATCATTTTAAGCATTCGAATATCATAATCAAGTTCAACAATACCCTACAAATAGTTTGATAAGTGGTATTTGGCCTAAATTTCACATATAAGTCAAGACAGTTTTACAAAACAAATCCAAGTCCCCAAAAAAAAGTGTTGTCAAAACATTTCTTGAGCATAAGATTTTCTCTATAGTTCTTGAGTCAATTAACAACTCTTGCTGCTGATCTTCCAAAAATCTATATATGATGAGCAACATATCTGCAGTGAAGTACTTCAATTATTAGTAGGTGATAAGAAAAACTTGAGACAAGAAAGAGAACTTAAGAATTTGCAAGAAAATAAGCTAAATCATTTCTTTTAAGTATCATCTAGACAGTGACTAAATAAGAGCAAAGTAAGAGATAAAGCACTAGAACTTCCGACAAACAACTGGGTATAGATATAAGAATGAGATTGTACTAATCCAACCGTATAAATTCAGTAACTTCCCTAAAGTTTTGCAAACTTTTTTCAAGTAAATATCAAAGAGAACAAACCCAACATTGCTGACCATAGCACCCTCTCAAGCATCAAAATTGATGGAAGCTTCAGTCCTAGCAGCAAGATAGCAACCAAAAACAATATGATTCTAATCAGAGGTTAACCTTCAGAACTGCTTTTGAATTTATCTAGTAATTCAAAAGCCAAACCTAAAACTGCTACTAAGGTTTAGCCAAATTTGAAATTTTGATTGATACAAAGTTACAAACATTTCTTTGTCTCTGCCAAGAATGGCTTAGCACAGTATTGCTACCACTTGTTGTTTATTGATCCTCAATAATTATCACTAATTCTTTGGAACTAACCAATACATCTGATTTTTACCAAGGTGTTTTAAAGTATTGGAAATTAAGGGAAAAAATAAACAAATGGTTTTACTACTGTTCGCCCAATAAAGATAGCCTTATCATCTCCGACCTGATCTTGGATTGCTTATATGACTTTTGCATCATTATGAATGTTGATCAACTCTTGCAAAATATTTGAAGCTCGCTAATTCCAGAACAACAAATCACAAACGAACCATTATTAATATAAAAAAGACAGACTTGACAGACTTGCACCAAAGCAAATGAAAGTTTAAAGTTAAAAATATTGGTTATTTTAGGTTCACTGATTTGAAGGCTAGTTTTCAAAGCATTGCATTAGATCAGAAACCTGCTCAATCTAACATGCACATTAATCAAGAAGAAAGTCAATTGATAGGAATATCTAAGTAACTTTTCTTTGAGACATACATTTAATATTGAATCTGAAAAAAAAATTCTGTTGGCTAACATACTTGACAAAACATAGAACTTTGGATTATACTGAAGAGACATGATAACAAGTATGTAATTCTCACACTCTTTTTTGGATACTTAAAGTAACTTAGACAAATATGAAAACAAAGATTCTCATTCAAACTCAAAATGAAAAGCAGCCCAAATTCACTAGTTCTGAAAATAAATGAAGAGAGTAAATTATGTCCAAAACAGAACAACAGATTAATGGTGGCAAAATGTGCAACAACACATGAATGGTGGCAAAACAAAAGGCTATCTATTGATATACGAATTGATCAGTTTCAGAGAGAGATACATCCAGATGCTATCACTAAAAAGGCTTTTACTCATTTAGATAGCTCCTTATGTATTTTTGCATTACAATCTGAAACATATAGTACAACTGCAATCAATACTATTAGCTTAAAGAAAAGGTTTTGCAAGAAAAAAAGCTTAGCAGTAGCAGTTCGAACCCTCAGCAGCTTGCTATGTGAGAAGGATGTAGCAGACAATAACCCTTCATTTTTTGGCTCATTCCCAACCAATGCACTTATTGACTCAATTGGAGACAACCTATCTGAATCATTTCCAATCCTTTTACAGTTTAAAAAAAAGTTCATCCATCAAAATGGAATACTAAAAACTTATAGCAGAGAGACAATAAAAATAGATATCAATGACTGGTAAAAAAAAAAAAAGGGGTTTTTTTATTATCGAAAGTTAGGCCAATGCTAATCATTTCCAAAACAGAAGCAACGCAAGAAAATAACCCAAAAATAATGAAATTGAAGTTCACCTCAGGAAATTTCCCTTCCTCTCCAAAAAAGGTACAAGAAAGATAGTAGCAGCTGCATAGACCTAGACAATGAAGAAATCCAAAATTATTTAAGGAAAATGATAAAGTTGAACGAAGAAAAAAGAAAGGCCAAAATTTTTACCTGAATGATAAAAGATCCAACTCCACCAGCACCACCTAGAACAAGAAGTGATTTACCAGTTGAAAGCCCAGCGCTTTCAAGTCCCCCATACGCTATTTCAACGGCAACAGGAAGGCTAGCTGCCTCGGCAAAACTCAAATTCTTGGGCTTCGAAGCTAGTACCTTCTCCTCCACTGTAGGTATTCCGCCAGTGACCCACATCCCTTTGGGTACAAACATGCTCGTGAATGTCTCCGAATACTTCATCCCCCACCTTGAATTCCTTGACCAAAAAAATTTTGCAAAAAAAATTAGGGCAAATTTTGCAAATTTTTGCAAAATGAGATGATTAAATCCATGACTCAAATTAGCCACCAAAAAAATTTTGCAAAAAAATATTTAGGGAAAAAATTTAGGCAAATTAATTGGGGAAAAATTAGAGAAACAAGTAGAGACATGAGAGGACCTACATGAGCATTGACCTTGCAGAACTGGAGGACGGCAAGCTTGACCTTCTTCTTCTTGTACTTGATCTTCTTGGGCTTGTGTAGGTCTTTTTCTTGCACTTCTTGACGCCACCACGAAGGCGGAGGATGAGGTGGAGGGTGGACTCCTTGTGACGACCCCACCGTACCCAAAGGCGTACCAAAGGGCTTAGCAGGCCGTCTGCCTAGCTCGCGCCAGGACTCGAAATAAAAAATTAATAAAAACTATTCACACCCAAACGGTTACTATACACATTATATACATGCTCAAAAGTTCACTATGTACATCACATACAGCAACAAAAATGTTCTATATACAATTCAAAAGTAGAAGTCCGAACTACTGCTTCATGCCATCACTACAACTATGACCATAAGGTGGACCCTAAGGTGGGTCCGAACACTTATCACTATTACTATTACACGCCTATCAACTGTCCAAAGAAAGGTCTTAAACCTAACTAAACTAGTCAAACTCCCAAAAGTGGTCCCCGCGTCGACCCCTGAAAGGAAAACAAAAAGAAGGGGTAAACTAAACGCTTAGTAAGTACGCAGGGGTAAAAGCGTAAATTTTACATAGTAGGAGCAATTAAAGTCACATAACACCCAGTTATAAGCGAAATAATAACACATATGTAGGATACAGATTGGCTTCAAAGCCAAGTAGTTTGTCATGATTGACCACCTGCCGACACTCCGTCGACCGCAAATTATGGTCCGTAGAGCTCCACTTGTCAACCCGCCATCCACCTTAGCACCCACACTGGCCAGTCACCCACACACACATAATAGCTCGAGCAAAGTTGGTTCATGCACACAGGTTCACATATTTGGTTCACAAACCAATTCACATATTTAATTAACCTAATGATCTCAAGTCTAAGTTAGACTAGCTCCGACCAGGCCCCTGCCGGCTCGATTAGTCCAACTAGGTTATGAGATCGGGCCCCATACATATCACATGTCACACATATCACAAATGTCACCCCGAGCTACAAGCTCTAGGGATTTAGTCCCAACAGCATGTCATTGGCACAAATCAAGCACAAGTACAGGTACATTTTAGGGTTTAGGTCGAGTGTGATAAAGTACACGCTCGCCTAAAGTCCCTTTCATTTAAAGCATAACACATAAGGGCGTTGACTTAGACACATAGCCCTAGATACTTACAAAAATACAAAACGAGTAAGATAAGGAACTAGACGTCGTGGGGTCCGCTAGTGGGTCCCAGTTGCTCCGTCAAGCCCACCGCTGTCTGCAATAGTAAATTGTATCACATTAGGCTAAAAACGGCTAAAACGGCTAACATATAGCAGATTACAACCAAAACGGCTAAAACGGCACGCGCGCGCGTAGAAACGACCCAACGGAAACGGAAACGGTTAGCGACAACGGAAACGGCCGTTTGTGAGAAAAGGCAGATTTGATACTTGTTCCCATTTTGCTCATAAGTTGAGCTACGAATATCGGATTAAGGCGTATGAGAAACCATTTCGAAGATTAAAGAATGAACAACAATTGTTACGAAGACATCCAGAACTGAAACTGGAAGCTTTCATCCCAAAAGAACCAAACAAAGTCATCCACGGAATCTGACCCATGCACAAATGGTCAGTTTTGAGGTGCAAACTGTTTTCTATGATACACACGGCCAAATGAGTTGAAAATTGGCAGTTAGATAGCTCATTCCAAATGGAACAACTTTCATGAAGGCCGACAACCCAAATTCTGAACGGAAACTGGTCATCAAGACCAAAACAGATTTGACCAGAATATGGTCATTTTCTTGGACAAGCCAACTTTGAACGGCTATAGCTCAGGCTACACAACTCCGTTTGAAGTGTACTTTATACCGTTTCGACGCTGAAACTAAGAGTTACATTTCTTATGAAGGCGACAAGACCCAATTCGCATGGCATCTAGACGAACCAGATACAGTCAGAATGCGTACCAGAATTGAATTGGAATCAAAGAGTTGTGCACAGTAGACTTGTACTAACCATATCCCAGGCCACATGAATCGGATGGGTCTGAAACTTTGCAGGTCTACAGAACACTTCTAGGGCTACAAGTTTTGTGTTTTGGTCACAAGCTCAAACAGCTTGTAACTTGGCCAAAATTCGAAGGCAAAGGTCCAGTTCTAAACTGTCCTGTTTGGCTATTTCGCAAGAATAACGCGCGCAATCGCGTGGGACGAATTCGCATAAAATATGTAAGCTTCTAAGGCAATTTTATTCCATTCTAACACATACACCACACTCTCTCACTGCCCTACCAAGACTCCCGAAATGCCTTCTCACGAACAGCCCCTAACCCCCACTCCAAACCAACCAAATTAACATCTCACACAACCCATTTGCAAGCCAATAATATCAATCAAACATGAACCAACACCAAACTACAACAACTCTAATTTCTTTTCCTCTTGGCCGGTTATCATGCAATCAAATTTAATCAAATTTAAGCCATGAAACTTCTCCATAATCAAGCCAATAACCAAACTCAACCACCAAGATAATCAAAGCCACAAGAAACCCTAAGTTCCATAGCCATGGCCAAAACCTAAAGGTGCATATTTCCTTCAAAGTAAACCATGAAATTTCATATACAACCACCAAGAATCATCTCCAATACATTAACCAAGACAATAACATCAAGTCACAACAAATTCAAAGGCTACAAGCCTTAATCATCCAAGAGGGTTTCATAAGAGGTTCTTACCTTGAACAAGGAAGAAGGATAAGGCCAAGACAACCTCTACCAAGCCTCAAGTAGAGCTAGCAAGCCTCAAACTTCAAGATGGAAGCTTCAAATGCAAGAAGGAAGCAAGAAACAAGTCACGGTTCTTCTTCTTCTTCTTTTTCTCTTCACGGTTCTCTTCCCTTTTCTCTCTCTCTCTCACGGTTCTTTTCCCCTTTTCTTTCCTTTGTTGTTTTAACTCTAAGACTTATGCTTCTATGGTCTCTTATGTCTTAAGATTATAAGACATCACAACTTCCAACACTATAGATATTTTGAAGTCTTGGCCAATCACAAGAAAGTATGCTAATTGCCTTTAAATCCTTGCTTCCATGATTTCTTACTTTCTCAATTCTTACCCAACTAACTTTCCTTTTCTTTCAAATTACTCCATAGAGCATATAATTAACCTAGGCTAAAACGCCTAATCACACTTAGCAATTGCACTAATCACCCTTAAACCTTACTTACCTATTCCATACCAATCTTTATCACACTTAAAATCCAACAAGTAAACACTTCCATGTCACACCTAAAATTAGGGTATAATTCCAACTTAATCATTCTAATTCACCACTTAACTAGAGTTTTTCCTTGATTAGGGTTTTCTACCCTTTTAAACCCACTTAACCCTGTATAATACTATACGAAAACATACATACACCTATCTAATACACATCCAAACATTCAATTGCCTTAGAATTGACTAACCAGGGTTTCGCTTAAAAATTTTCAATTTTTGCACAATTAGGGTTTCTCAAGTTCCCAAATAGGGATTTTCGCATTATTCGGAATAAAATTTACTCTAAAATTCATTATTTTCACATAAAAATCATATTTTAGGACAACCGGGTCTCACACTCCTTCTGGATGTTGTAATCGGCTATGGTGCAGCCGTCCTCCAGCTACTTGTAGACAAAGATGCGGCATTGCTGGTCTGGGGGATGCCCTCCTTGTCTTGGATTTTGGCCTTGACATTATCGATGGTGTTAGAAGACTCCACCTCAAGGGTGATGGTCTTCCCCGTCAGGGTTTTCATGAATATATGCATCTTTGACGACGGCGGCTGCTCCCTTCGTTGCTGCTACGGTTTTGGAAAATGAATAAATGGGGTTGAGAATAAAGGAGTTCACTGAGGGATTTAGAGTGTGAAGAGTACTAAAGACATCTGGATCTGGGGAGGGTCTGTTTGGATTAAGAGGTTTTCAAAAAAAAATTTCAAATTTTGTTTTGCTTGCATCATACACACAATTTCCAACCACCTTTTTATCTCACATACATCACATCACAAAAAGTGCTACAGTAATTATCTCAAATAAATATTTCAAATAATCTTCAATCCAAACAAACCCACTAGTGTGGTTCCTTGTATAGTACCTGTGCCACTTTTTTTCATTTTTAGTTTGAACACATTTCTGGTACTAGTCAATCAAGACAATCCAAGTCAATTTTTAGCTTCAATTTTTATTTATATTTACTAATGTATTTCTAATCACTACTTCTTAACATATTTATTAAAAAATTATAATGGATGAAAATTTTTTGTTAAATTCAAAGAACTGGTAAATGTACTCTTTTTCAAGTTGTAATAGTTTATATAGTTGTTCTAACTAGAAACTTTCATTAATTTTTTCCAGTTAAAAACCTATTATTATTTGAGTAACTATGACCAGTTTAATAAATAACCAAATTTAAAAAAAATTAAATTAATATTGAGGCTCACAATTAAATAAATGCATTGGAGATGTTCAAGTTAGTGATGATACTATGTTGTCACTAACTACGCTATAGTTGTCAAAGAAAGAGGTAGAATTACTGACAACTTTTATCAAGTTGTCACTATCGTATAACTCGTGCCTTCCAAGTCCCATGGCGCGAAGTAGTTTTGTGATGACAATTAAGGGTCGTCACTGAAAACTTAGCTGCTTTGAGTCAATTGTGACAACCTTGAATGTCGTGACTAAACAACCTCATTTTGTGACGACTTTTTGTCATCACTAGGAAATGTTGTCACTAATGACCTTTTTTCTTGTAGTATTGTATAAATATCTACTTTTCCCCCTTTGTGATTTTTGTATTTATCCACATAATCTCCTCATGGTTTTGTACAAGGTGGTTAAGTCGTCATTTGATTTGGCATTTAAGTAAGGGCATTACTGATATTTTAACTAATGACATTACAAAGACTATTTTCGTTAAATTTTCAATGTACATGAAGTTATAAGGAGTGAAGTAAATATTTTGAAACGTTTGGAGGATCGTATGATAATAGATGAAACCACATGGGGGTTATCAGTAATTTACCCAAAACAAAATTAATATGTAGTTCTAGGTGTATAATCATTATACGCATTTTATAACTATCTCAAAGAATACTTGTTAAATTCTTTCTATGCATTAAAGTACTATTCAATCTATATTACTAACATTATAACAAATTCAAGTATATTTGTTTAAGAAAAATAATTTGGTCGTTAAACATTTAGAATATAACAATTTTTTATAATGAATTCGTAAGAATATTGTGATACTTTTTTTTTTTTTGGGAGAAAAAGCAGATTCAATACCAAGATGTTGGAAGGCACGTTTGAACTACTAGTTTATGGATAGAGTTTGTGCCTTCTCTGAAGACGAGGGAATGGTAGCAAGATTGAGCATTGACCGAGCGATAGACAGACGAGAAATTCTTTTTGGAAAGAGTCGTGTTGACAATGAGTTATTCGTGCGTCTTAGTTCTTACACAGCTTTACAACTACTCAAAAGAAAACAAATTAAAAAATAAAAAGATCTGGTGATTGATGCAGGAGCCAAAAAACTAGTTAGGATTATCTGTCATATTTTACAAAAGGAATACTGAAAAACTTGTCGAACCAATCTAAATTGGATTTTGGATATCGACAAATTGAAATTCACTAAAACCAATATATATCCAAACTCTAGTACGTGTTAAAACATTTTGAGAATGAATTTCTTTGGGATGGGTACAGCACTGAACTAGGATGGTTCTGCTCTACTTCAAACTAGGGTAGGAAATGAGCCTAACTTCATTTGCTTGTGCACTATGATATCCTTTCCTTTTCTGCTTCATTCTTTCTTTCTGAAAGAGGCTGGTCTCCCAACTCTTTGCACTCAGTTACTTCTCTTACTCACCCCAGGCTGGCTTTTAATATCTCCTTCCTAACTAAGATCGCCAGAATTCCAATCCATCACTCTTCAACTCTCAACTTCTGCTTTTCGATCCTATAGATATATAGCCTACCTCGTTTTCTACTTTGGTTAGCTTTGTGCCTGGTTTAGCCTTCAAGTCTTTAATTGGAAAATGTAGGAGAACTTCAAAATAGTGGGACTTTTGTTTTATGTCAATTATGTGTAATTATTTGTTTGTGAATGGGCATGACTCTTGTAACTCTTCATTTGTTTGTTGAAGTGAACGAGGGATTTGTTCTCTTTATTGTTCAGACATAGCACCCTATATAGCTAACTATCAAATGGTTACAACAACAAAAAGTTCACTATTCTTTCTCCTCTACAATAAGCACTCTGAAAAATATTCTGACAATCCTACAAATATTGAGTGCTCAAAGGTTTGCCCATGTTGGTGTAATATGTTGTCAAATTGGGGCTGTGTATATCCTAGAGCGTTAATTTTTAGAACCCTTTTGCATACTAATTGTAGGGATGAATTAAATCTTAAAGATAGTGACATCCACAACGTACCTTAAAACCATTGTTCTCATATTTTTCTAACACAAAATTGTTATTTACTTTTTTTTTTTCGCAACGATAGATGTCCTATAATCTATTCTAGCCTAATCTAAGGGAAGGGGTAAAGGGAATGGTCAACTAAGACCAGCCACATATTGTGGCAAATTTTTGTGGGAGGCGGGGGTTGAACCCCTGACCTCCAGCATCACCATTAAGGTGATGACCACCGGACCAAATGGCCAGTGGCACAAAATTGTTATTTACTTGGTTTTGAAGTTTAAACGCGTGTTGGTTAAACATGTGTCGGCTGAAGGTGTGCAAAATTTGTCTCATATTTGTCTCACATGTTTCTAAATTGGTTAGTGCGTTAACACGTGCAATGCAGGTATTTTTTACTACTTAAAAACAGATATGGATACATTATTGAATATACCTTGGTTTCCAACCTGGCTCACACTTTGATCAAGATGCGATTTTCATGCCCCACGAGTAACACAAACTTGTGCACACGGTAAACATCAGAGTTTTGTCAATTTGAATTTTTTGAGCTGGCAATCACGAATTCAAAATAATTAACTTTAACTTATTCAATAATTCATGGGCCTCAAATTATATACTATTTCTTTTCCCTATTTTGTTTTGATGCGGAACATTTCACTTTCCTCACGTTTAAAACTTTGCATCTTTGCAATAGGACATTTCCCCCTCCCCACATTGAGAATTTTCCTTGCAAAATTCATTACTATCCCAACTATCTACTTAGACATGCTCTCCACCTTTAGAACTTTGTAGCCTTGCGTGACATTTCCATGTGTAGTCGGGCCTAGTGCAAAGACCAAGCGAGAAACGCCCAATACCATTTGTAGTGCTTCTTGCATTTCCTTGTGTAGCCACTCAATATGGGCTCCAAAGTCTGGTCATTTACAAGAAGTGGGGGCTCTGGTCATTTACAAGAATTGACTCTTGTAATTTGATGGTGTCGGTAAAACAGTTTCTCACATTGTAGAGATAGCGACGTCCATATCTTGTGTTTTTATTTACTGGCCTTGAATGTGTGGGTTAAAAATGAGTGGTGCTCATAGTGTACACATCGGGAACGTGGGAATTTTGAATATGATATTTAAGTAAGAGCGGTGGTAGGCAGCAATTTTGGTCAGTTTCTTTCACCTACCTTACTGGCAACATCCTGCCAGTCAAATGAAGCTGCCGACAGCGGAAGCAATGATGGTTGCTCACAACCGTCCTGCATGAATTACCTACTTCATAAGTGTGGGGAAATCGCTTGATAATTGTACGAAAATGGAGGGACAAAAAAGCAAGCATCATTCATTCATACTGTAGGTTGTATCATTTGTTTGACGTACAATATTTATCATTAAAAATAATAAATAAAGAGCACGCATAATACATTTTTTTTTTTACTATTAGCACTGTTTAGACTAATTTCATTTTCCACTCCCGAAATTGTATCTTATTTTTACTTTATATCATGAATTTTAATTTTGAACAATTTGTATATTTAACTTTTTAGATTTGTCCCACTTAAACCCAATTGATAACAGCATTAGTAAAACTA